AATACCTTTCCCAGCACTATTTGTCTTTCATAAAAATATCTTTGGTTTTGCTGAAGGAAGCGCTCATGCCATGTGTGTCTTGGTATGGCAGGAAACCAGCCTGCTCAGCTCATATTTTCAACAGAATCTGGTTAATTTTCTACATGGGTTCTTATCAGAATCAAAGCGGATGTAGGAAAACAGCTCGTGCCAGTCACAGGGAGGAAGCATTTGAGCATTTTCCTGTGGCTGGCAGAGATTGTGCCAAGCAGTGATTTGTGGAAAAAGCCAGTAATGGCTCCTGTCCATCTATGTCTGACCAAGTTCTGCCCCCCTCCCAGCCTGTCCTCTCCTCAGAGCACATGGCTGCCCTTGGAGTCTTCGGCCTGTGCCAGATCCATGCCTTTGTGGATTACCTCCGGAGCAAGCTGAACCCTCAGCAGTTTGAGATCCTCTTCAGGAGTGTCATTTCCCTGGTTGGCTTCGTCCTCCTCTCCGTTGGGGCCGTGCTGATGCTCACAGGTAGCCCGAGGCTGTGGCCATTACAAGGGTGTTTCACCCTCTTTTCTTGCTTCCCAAGGCATGGAATTTGTCCATCCTAACTCTCTGTGATGCCAGTGCTGTGAGTCCCCTCAAAGGGGGAGGCTGGGACCTGCCTGAGTTTGTGCATTAGCAAGGAATATTTAAGCAGCAGCTGTAAGACAGGAGGGACAGAGACTCTGGGGACACCAGGCTGGTGCTGCAGATACTGGTTGTTGCTCTGTAGTAGCAAAGAGATGCTAAAAGTAGAGATTGGGCAGGGAGGAGATTTTGGAGTGAAATTGCATTGTATTTCCTTTCCAAAATGGCGGTTTTGAGTAGTAGGGATTCTAAATGAGGTCTGGGATCACTCATTCAGCCTCACATCTGTTTCCTGGGACAGTATGTGTCAACATTGCCCGTTACTCTGCTGGATCCAAAGGATTTGTTTTCTCCACTTTCCTAGGGAAAATCTCCCCATGGACAGGGCGTTTCTATTCCCTGCTGGACCCTTCCTATGCCAAGAACAACATCCCCATCATTGCCTCTGTCTCTGAGCACCAGCCCACCACTTGGTCCTCCTACTACTTCGACCTGCAGCTCCTTGTTTTCATGTTCCCAGGTGAGTCAGTCACCAGAGGGCTTTCCTGCCTCTTGCCTGTGCCAAGCCTTCTGTGTCCTGCTGTGTTCCTCAGTGCCTGGTTTCATTTCATCTCTGAGCTGAACCTGACCCCTTTTTTCCCCCCTCACAGTTGGTCTCTACTACTGCTTCAGCAACCTCTCAGATGCCCGTATCTTCATCATCATGTACGGGGTGACCAGCATGTACTTCTCAGCTGTCATGGTGAGGGCTGCAGGCACAGCACTGCCTCTGAGTGCTCATAACAATTTAATTTGTTTTTCTGAACTTAGTGATGATTCTTTCACCCTGAGGGCTTTTCTGCCTTCCATAAATGTGGTTTTGTTTTGTCCCTCTGCAGTGAGGGAAGGTGAAGTTGCAAAACTCAGTGGTTTGGGTGTGACTGTCCCTGGGGCTAGTGCTGCCTGGTCAGGGTTCCTGATCTCCCAGAGCACCCAATGCAATCTCAGACAAATTCTCTGGGTTTTGAGGCAGGGAGTGCTGACAAACAGTTGTTGATGAGCCCATTTCCACTCCTCCTGTGGCACCCTGAACACTAAATGTGGTTGAGTTCTGCTGTGGAGGCAGCTACCAGTCCTTGCTTCCACCCAAGATTGCTGAAGTGACCTCAATTTCCCATGTGGGCCAATTTTGAGCATTTCAAGGAATTTCCCTTGAGGGTGTCTGAGATGGTGGCAGCTCCCCACTAAAAAACCAGGCACAGGTTTATCCCAAGGCTGATATATCCACTGAATTGGTGCTGGAATAGGAATGGCATCCTCTTCCCTTGGATTTTGCTGGATTCCTTCTCCAGCAGTTCTGCTGTTGCCACAGGTGCGTCTCATGCTGGTGCTGGCTCCTGTGATGTGCATCCTGTCTGGCATCGGGGTCTCTCAGGTGTTGTCCACCTACATGAAGAACCTGGATATCAGCCGGCCAGACAAGAAGAGCAAAAAGCAGCAGGACTCCACCTACCCCATTAAAAATGAGGTGAGCACCAGGCTGGCTCAGGAACACACCTGGTGTTGATGGGCTGAGAGCAGGAGGCTGACGGCCCCGTCCCTCCAGTGCTGAGACCCTGGGTTGTTCCCACAGGTTGCCAGTGGCATGATCCTGGTCATGGCCTTCTTCCTGATCACCTACACCTTCCACTCCACCTGGGTGACCAGCGAGGCCTATTCCTCCCCCTCCATTGTCCTCTCTGCCCGTGGTGGCGATGGCAGCAGGATCATCTTCGATGACTTCCGAGAGGCGTATTACTGGCTGCGGCACAACACGCCGGAGGTGCGGCTGTGATGTGCTCACAGGGGTCTGGGGATGAGGGGAGAGATGAGGATCTGACTCCCTGTTTCAGAAGGCTTGGTTTATTATTTTATGATATATGTTATATTGAAACTATACTAAAAGAATAGAAGAAAGGATTTCATCAGAAGGCTGGTTACAAATAGAAAAAGAAGGAAGATAAAAGCTTGTATCTCAGACAGAGTCTGAGCTAGCTGACTGTGATTGGCCATTAATTACAAACAACCACATGAGACCAATCCCAGATGCACCTGTTGCATTCCACAGCAGCAGGTAACCATTGTTTACATTTTGTTCCTGACGCCTCTCGGCTTCTCAGGAGAAAAAACTCCTAAGGAAAGGATTTTTCATGAAATGTGTCTGTGACAGTATGAGGCGTTGGGGCCTTGGGCACCCCACATTGCCCACTGAGGCACTGATGCCCAGCCATGTTTGGTGCAGGATGCCAAGGTGATGTCCTGGTGGGATTATGGGTACCAGATCACTGCCATGGCCAACCGGACCATCCTGGTGGACAACAACACCTGGAACAACACACACATCTCCCGTGTCGGCCAGGTGGGTCCCTCCCTCCCCTGCTGCCTTGGCCAGCCTTTCTGGGCACCACATCAGCACTGGCTGATGCCACATCTGTGCTGGTGTCACCCCAGGCCATGGCATCGACGGAGGAGAAAGCCTACGAGATCATGAGGGAGCTGGACGTCAGCTACGTGCTGGTGATCTTTGGTGGCCTCACCGGGTACTCATCGGACGGTAAGATCCTGCTGTGGGCCGGGTCAGACCCAGCTGGGGCTGTGGAGTGAAAACAGGGCCAGAATGCTCCTCTCTGGAGCTCTCCCTCATCTCAGCCTTGCTTTTGGCCCCCCCACATCACCTCAGCCCTCCCTCCTGGCTCCCCAGCTCAACTTGGCTCCTCATTCCTTTACCTCATCCCAACTTCTTGTTCTTTCACCCCAATGCAACCCCTTGCTCTTGGCCCCCCAAATCAACTCAAGCCCTCATTCTTTGCCCCCCACCTCTCTGCCTTGCAGACATCAACAAGTTCCTGTGGATGGTGCGGATCGGGGGCAGCACGGACACGGGCAGGCACATCAAGGAGCACGACTATTACACCCCCACCGGGGAGTTCCGGGTGGACCGCGAGGGCTCCCCGGTGCTGCTCAACTGCCTCATGTACAAGATGTGCTACTACCGCTTCGGCCAGGTCTACACTGAGGCCAGTGAGTCCCTGAGTCACCCCCGGGGTGTGGCACTGCTTTTGGGGGACCCTCTGTGCCCTGATATCTCTGGGTAAGATACAGCAGCAGTGCCTGTGCTTTCCTCTCTCCCAGAGCGACCGCCAGGCTACGACCGGGTGAGGAACGCTGAAATCGGCAACAAGGACTTTGAGCTGGACGTGCTGGAGGAGGCGTACACCACAGAGCACTGGCTGGTCCGAATATACAAGGTATGGCACCAGAGCGAGCCCAGCCCACCCAGTTTGGGAAAAAAAATATGGAATTCTACCTAATGAACGTTCTTTACTGCCCAGGTGAAAGATTTGGACAACCGCGGGTTGTCGAGAACGTAGAGGAGCCGGCGCCGGCCGCGCCAGACACCGCACTGACCCAGCCTTGCCTGTGCAGCAGAGATTCGGGGGTTTGCTGGGGGTTCGAGGGGGGCTCTTTCGGGTTTGTTTTATACCGTTTGTAAGTGCAGGCAGCGGCGGGAGGACCCTGCCCGCCCCGTCCTGCCTGCAGTGATTTTTGTATACACACGGAGCCGTCGCCAAATCGGGAATTGCGGCTCTCATCGGGGCTGATTGACCAGGAATTGTAAAGAATGCAAATAAATAAAAATTAATTTGGTGGGTTTCTCTCTGAATTCTGTCAGAGGGGCGTTGGAGCCGTTTAGCTGATAT